TCTCCTTTAATGGATAGAAAGGAGGACACCTGTGCGCCAGTGACATCAGAGGACAACAGAGAATAAACTACAGTGCCATTCTGTCTCCAGTCCGGGTCTGTAGCTGACACTGAACAAATAGACGAGCCCGGTTTGTTATTTTCTTGAACATGAGCTCTGTAACTCTGCTCCTGAAATGCAGGTGGATTATCATTCACGTCAGCTACAGTCAGGTGAATATTCTTAGTGGAAGATAAAGGCGGAGAGCCCTCGTCAGTAGCAGCAATTGTAATATTATAATCAGAGAGCAGCTCGCGGTCTAATTCACCTGTGGTCACCAGAGAATAGTAATTTTTGATTGAAGGTACGAGTTTAAATGGGACGTTTTGCTGAATGGAGCAGCGCACCTGTCCGTTATTCTCAGAGTCTCTGTCCTGCACATTAATGATGCCAACCTCTGTACCGGGTAATGCATTCTCAGGTATCGGGCTATTCAGAGATTTTACTATTAGTATAGGAGAGTTATCATTAATGTCACTTATGCTGATTATAACATTCGAGTAAGATGTTAGACCTGAACCATCTTTAGCTATTATTCGCAGATTAAATGTGGTTTCTTCCTCAAAATCTACTGGACCTTTTATGCTGATGACACCTGTCTTCCGATCAAGGTAAAACAACTGTTTGAAACCTTCCATAACATGACTAAATTCATATGTCACGTCTCCATTTTGTCCCTCGTCAGCATCAGTAGCGCTCACTGTCACCACTACAGTATCTAGAGGAGAATTTTCAGGCAGACTGACTTTATAGACGGCCTGACTAAAGACTGGAGCATTATCATTAGCATCCAGCACAGTGACGTGTATGGCTACAGTACCTGATCTCGGTGGAGTCCCGCCGTCTACCGCAGTGAGAATTAATGTCAGATCTTTTTGTTGCTCACGATCCAGCTCTTTATTTAAAATTATTTCGGCGTATTTCTCTCCAAGAGAGTTACTTTGCACTGATAAATGAAAATATTCATTATCTTGAATAGAATAGCTTTGTACAGAATGTTGCCCAATATCCGCATCATTTGCTTCTTCAAGTAAGAATCGTTTGCCCTTAACTGCGGATTCACTGATTTCCATATCAATTACACCTTTACCAAAAAAAGGATTGTTATCATTTATATCTTGAACAAGAAGACTGATACGACGTAATTCTAAAGGATTCTCCAGCACGAGTTCTTGATTTAAAACGCATGAAGCTTTCTTTCCACAAAGCCCCTCTCTGTCAATTCTCTCCGCTACGGTCAGTTCTCCAGTATTCAGATTAATGTCACAATATCGTTTTCTGTTACCTTCAGTATCAATTCGGGCCTTACGAGATGACAGTCTGTTCACATTGAGCCCGAGATCCTTTGCTATATTTCCAATCACAGATCCGCGTTTCATCTCCTCCGGAAAAGAATAGCTCACGTCTCCATAAGTGGTGTGCGCCACAAACAAGATGGAAAAGAAAAGAAAGAACCCTTCCTGCATCATTCTTCGTTGTGCACAAAAAAATCGGCTACTCGATAAAAAAGGCACGATAAGTAAATAAGAACTAATAAATATCAGTTTGAACAGAATTCCATATTCTGCTCTTTCAACAAAGACTAAAGACCATCTCTGTGCAGACACTGGACGAGCATTCAGCAGATATCGCAAAATGGGTGGAGATAACACAAATAAATGGTAAGGAAAGGTCAACAGCGACACCATGAGGACTAAGTGAGATGTTAATTCATAGATTTATAAAACAAATATTAACATATTTCCTAAACACACCATAAAATCTAAATCGTTCCTTTAATGAAATGAAAATAATAACTTCAGGTGTTGTCCAAGTACACTTAATACACGATTTGTGAATTGTGATAAAGTGAGCGTTATAACGTTATACACTGAAACACAAGAACACATCCGATGAGCAACCCAAATACAAACTTTCTTTCAAAACTGAACATGCTACAGTACAGTTCCTACCCAACACATCAGCACCACGGACAGCGCCACAGGAGGTCAATACGCCTTGTAATGATCAGAACATGGTGGTGTTTGTAAAAGTATAGCTTTGTTTTAATCTCATCATGAATTTGAAAATGACAAACATCAGCACATATATCCATGAAATAAATAAATAATAATAAAAAAAAATTTAAGCAAAATAAGAAGATTACATTTGTTACCTCCTAATGACATTCGCAATCCAGGACACACATTCAAAAAAGCAAACGCAGAATGATAGCAAAATCATGACAACGAGTATTTATGACTTGGAGGATGCTATGGCTTCACATAAATCTCAACACCCAGTGAGAAAGGAGAACTGTAAGAAGCAAGCAATATTGAAAACATTAATGAATCTGAGTATAACAAATTCCACCCTTTCTAAATGTTACTAAATCCAACAAGTACATCACCAATAACTGTAAACAAAACCAGAAAAAACTAAACTAACTTCTACCATAGTAATGATTTATGCCCCAAGTCATACTGTGAACACCAACATCTAAAAGTACAATAAAAAAAAATCCATATGAAAAAAAACCCTTCATGTTAACACTTAAAATGTAGATACAAATAAAAATACCTAATGTAAGTATGTATACGTATATGTGTGTGTGTGTGTGTGTGTGTGTGTAAATATATATATATATATATTTATTGAGTGTTGAGAGTTACGGAGTGTTTAAAATGAGCACATGACGGTCATGGGTCAAACTTAAATTTCTACATAAATTTCAGGATGTGGTGCATCCTTTGGGATAATTACTTTGGATCTAAAATAAGCTGCTTTCTAAACATGGGTTTCCATAAATAAATAAATAAAAGTGGTCTCTTGGCTCAACTTGCCCCCAGTGAGGGGTAAATTGAGCCTAGGGAGAGGGTAAGTTGAGCCACATGGAGTGCCACTGATTATGCAGAAGTGAACATTTTCACCTCATACTATATCAATAAACATGACTTCTTAAAATCTATGTGTGAGCCTTGTGATGGACTGACCATCCAAAGGTTTTATTTAAAGATATAGTTCACAACTCCGAAGGCCTTTTTAATTAATTATGTAAAAATTTCAGAACAAAAAGTTCAAATTAATAAATAAATAGACTGCAATTGACCTTAAATAACTGGGCTAACAGTACTCAACATCCCACTTTGAAATTTGGCAGGGATATACAATTTCATAAAAACTTCAATGGCCAATTTTCATAAACAAGGCCCATTTAAAATTCAGAACAAAATCAAGTTTAAAAACAAAGAACTATTGAAAACATTAATGAATCTGAGTATAACAAATTCCACCCTTTCTAAATGTTACTAAATCCAACAAGTACATCACCAATAACTGTAAACAAAACCAGAAAAAACTAAACTAACTTCTACCATAGTAATGATTTATGCCCCAAGTCATACTGTGAACACCAACATCTAAAAGTACAATAAAAAAAATCCATATGAAAAAAAACCCTTCATGTTAACACTTAAAATGTAGATACAAATAAAAATACCTAATGTAAGTATGTATACGTATATGTGTGTGTGTGTGTGTGTGTGTGTGTGTAAATATATATATATATATATTTATTGAGTTGAGCCAGTTACGGAGTGTTTAAAATGAGCACATGACGGTCATGGGTCAAACTTAAATTTGTACATAAATTTCAGGATGTGGTGCATCCTTTGGGATAATTACTTTGGATCTAAAATAAGCTGCTTTCTAAACATGGGTTTCCATAAATAAATAAATAAAAGTGGTCTCTTGGCTCAACTTGCCCCCAGTGAGGGGTAAATTGAGCCTAGGGAGAGGGTAAGTTGAGCCACATGGAGTGCCACTGATTATGCAGAAGTGAACATTTTCACCTCATACTATATCAATAAACATGACTTCTTAAAATCTATGTGTGAGCCTTGTGATGGACTGACCATCCAAAGGTTTTATTTAAAGATATAGTTCACAACTCCGAAGGCCTTTTTAATTAATTATGTAAAAATTTCAGAACAAAAAGTTCAAATTAATAAATAAATAGACTGCAATTGACCTTAAATAACTGGGCTAACAGTACTCAACATCCCACTTTGAAATTTGGCAGGGATATACAATTTCATAAAAACTTCAATGGCCAATTTTCATAAACAAGGCCCATTTAAAATTCAGAACAAAATCAAGTTTAAAAACAAAGAACAAAATCAAAAATGTTTGGTATAAATACAATAAAATAACACTTTATAATCATAAGAATGGGTGAGCCACTGGCTCAACTTACCACAGGACATTTGGCTCAAATTACCCCACACTCTACCATTTGAACAAACTTGTATTATCCAGCAGTTTAGAGAACATCATGCTCATAATATAACTTCCTAAAGCACAAAGACGTGACATTTTTCAGATTTGTCTTTAATTGTTCAGACACAAGAAGCATGAGTCCTTGAATATAAAAAATCACTTTGAACAGCAAAAAACGTATTTATAGAAAAAATGATCCAGTATTACATAACTGTGCCTTGCAAAAGTTAGTGAATCTCTAGGATACGTTGTTAATTTGAAGGTGAAATTAGAATCCATCTGTTAAGAGGTGTTTTCATTCAGTGGAATAATTATCAAGGTGTCAATGCTTTCCCTGCTTTAGAACAGGGCTCTTTCAAAGTCTGATCATGTTTGTGTAAGTAAATCATGGCACAAACAAAGGAGATCTCCGTGGACCTCAGGCGCCCCTGCATGTAACAGTCCGCAAGGAACTCAGGATAACCTCTAAGCAACTAAAAGGCCTTTCTCACATTGGCTAATGTTAATGTTCATGAGTCCACCATCAGGAGAACACTGAACAACAATGGTGTGAATGGTAGAGTTGCAAGGAGAAAGCCACTGCTCTCCAAAAAGAAAATTGCTGCCCATCTGCATTTTCCCCACCGCATTCAAGCAGGCTTGGGTAACCCCACTGCTCACAAAACCTACATTAAACACTTCACTTACAGATAGCTACAGACCTGTCTCTCCTTCATTCATAGTGAAAACACTTGAATGAGTCGTTTTCAATCAGGTATCGTCATTTCTTTGACAGAATAACCAACTGGACGCTGACCAATCAGGTTTCAGAAGTGGACATTCAACTGAGACTGCGCTACTCTCAGTCACTGAAGCCTTGCGGATTGCAAAAGCTGATTCCAAATCATCAGTTCTCATTCTGCTAGATCTATCTGCCGCTTTTGATACTGTGACTCATCAGATCCTCCTGTCCAACCTCGCATCATTGGGCATCACAGGGATTCCACTTCGCTAGTTCGCTGGTATCTCACTGGTAAGTCTTTCAAGGTAACCTGGGGAGGGGAGGTTTCCAAAGCACATCAACTGGTCACTGGAGTTCCTCAGGGATCAGTTCTTGGACCCCTCCTCTTCTCCATATACACTACATCAGGGGGTCCCATCATACAGGCACATGGTTTCTCCTACCATTGCTATGGTAATGACACACAGCTCTATCTCTCATTTCAACCAGATGATCCAACGGTAGCTGCAAGGTTTTCAGGCTGCCTGGCGGACATCTCGGCATGGATGAAAGAACATCACCTATAGCTCAATCTGGCAAAGACGGAGCTTCTTGTCTTCCCTGTCACTCCAACTCTACAGCATGATTTCACCATCCAGTTAGGTTCATCAACAATTACCCCATCAAGTTCGGTCAAAAATCTTGGTGTAATCTTCGATGACCAGCTAACTTTCAAAGACCACATTGCAAAAACTGCTCGATCTTGCAGGTTTGCATTGCACAACATCAGAAAGATCAGACCCTTCCTAACAGAGAATGCTGCACAGCTTATTGTCCAGGCCCTTGTCATTTTTAGACTGGACTACTGCAATGCTCTTCTGGCTGGACTTCCATCATGCACAGTCAAACCTTTACAAATGATTCAGAATGCAGCGGCACGCCTGGACTTCAAAGAACCCAAAAGGGCCGACATCACGCCTCTGTTTATCTCCCTGCACTGGCTCCTGGTTGCAGCTCGCATCAAGTTCAAGACATTGATACTTGTATGTAGAACTGCCACAGGCTCAGCAGCCTCCTACTTCCACTCACTTTTGAGGAACTACATCCCCTCCAGAAATCTGAGATCTACGAGTGAGCGATGCCTCGTGGTACCATCACAGAGAGGCACAAAATCACTTTCCAGAACTTTTTCGTTCATTGTTCTTGGCTGGTGGAATAAACTTCCCTCCCCAAATTTTCAAGCGACACCTGAAAACTCATCTCTTTTGTCACCATTTGACTTCAACTTAAAAAATAAAAAATTAAAAAAAAACTTTGCTTTCTCTTTCCTTAATCTCTCCCTGCCTAGCTTGTACTAATCTGATGCCTGAAAATTTGTATTACAAGCACTTCCTGAATTGATTTGCCTCTTAATGACGAATCGCTTATTGTATTCATCAATTGTAAGTCACTTTGGATAAAAGTGTCTACTAAATGAATAAATGTATATGTAATGTAATGGCTGCAGCTTGC